CTCTCTCCCTATTTATTTCAGAACCTCCTTCCCCTCCCCCATTTCTGATGAAGGGTCCAGGCCCGAAACGTCAGCCTTCTTGCTCCTATGATGCTGCTTGGCCTGCTGTGTTCATCCAGCTCTGCATCTTGTTGTCTCAGATTCTCCAGCATCTCCAGTTCCTACTATCTCTGATACCCTTTTACATAGTGTCTGTTAATGTCATATCTCTGTTTGTCTCTCACATATGCTGCTAGACTTGCTGTGTATTTCCAACTTTTCCTGTCTGTATTTACTCCCTTTCCCTTCACTGTCTTTCGGCACCCTGATGTTTACTGTGTAATGAACCCTAAGGCAATCTGCTTATTCCAGATATTTGTCCAGTAAACCTTCTCTGAACTGCTTCCAGCGTATTCACATCCTTCCCTAAGTGCTGTGATTAGTACTGGATACAGTACTCAAAACGCTGTATAATTGGAGCATAATCTCCCTACTTGTTTATTTAGTTCCTCTTGCAGTACAACATAACTTTCAATTAGCTTTCCTAATTACTTGCTGTACCTGCATACTAACCTTCTGCGATTTATGCACCAGAATACCCAGATCTCTCTGCATCCCAGAACTCTGCAACCTCTCACCTTTTGGATCACCTGCTTCCTTCTATATTCTTTCTGGCAAAATGGACAATTTCACACTTTGCCACATTAAAGCTCCATTTGCCAGCTCTTTATCCATACATTTAACCTATCTAAATTTGTTCGTGGGCTGTTTATGTCCTGTTCACAATTTGCTTTCCTATCTATCTTTGTGTCATCAGCAAATTTAGCTACCATACCTTTTGTTCCTTCATCCAAATTATTTATATGAATTGCAAACAGTTAAAAGCCCAGCACTGACCTCTGTGGCATATCACACGTGACATCCTGCCAGCCTGAAAAAGATCCATTTATTCCTACTCCTTGCTTCCTGTTAGATGGCCATTATTCTATCCATGCCAGTGTGTTACTTCCACTACCACGAGCTTTTATTTTCTGCAATAACATTTGCTGTGCCTCCTTTTCAGATGCCTTCTGAAATCTAAATACAATACATCCACTGGTTCCCCCTTTATCCACAGCACAAGTTGCTTCTTCAACGAACTCCAGTGGGTTAAACATTATAAACCATGTTGACTCTGCCTGATTACCTTGAACTTCTAAAAGTGCCCTGCTGTAACATCTTTATTAACAATAGATTCTAACATTTTCTTTATGACAGATGTTAAGCTAACTGGCTTGTAGTTTTCTGCTTTCTATCTCTATCCCTTTTTCAGAGTTACATTAGCTATTTCCAACCTTGAGTTGCCTTCCCTCAATCAACTGAGTTTTGGAAAATTAAAACCAAGACATTAACTCTCATTCTAACTACTACTTTAAGACCCCAGGATGAAATCCAACAAGCGACTTGTCAACTCGCAGTTACGTCAGTTTATTCAATGCTATTTCCCTGGTAATTACATTTTTCTGGAACTTGTACCCTGTTTTCAATGTCTGATTTGAAGCTATTTCTGGGATGTTACTTGTATCCACTCTGGTGAAAACTACACAAAATATCTATTCAAAAATAAAAGCATAAAACATACGAACAGGAGTAGACCATTCACCCCATCGGTTCTATCCCACCATTGAATGAGATCATGGTTGATCTGATAATCCTGAGCTCCACTTTCCTGCCTTTTCCCAATAACCCTTGATTTCCTTACTGATTAAAACCCCTTTGTTCTCAGCCTTGGATATCCTTAATAACACAACCTTGACTGCCCCATGCAGTTAAGACTTCCACAGGTTCACTACCCTTTGACAGAATAAATTCCTCTTCGTCTCAGTCTTAAATATGCAACCCCTAATTCTGAGATTATGCCCTTTTGTCCTAGACTTTTCCATAAGGGGAAACAACCTTTCTGGTCAAATCCCCTAGTAATCTTAGATGTTGCAATAACATACCTGTCATATTTCTAAATTCTTTATAATTCAACGGCAACCTCCTTATCCTATATTACTGATTACAGCCTCATTTTATATCACATTGGCACTTTATTTTAAACCTTTTTTTAAAATACTTGAAGAAACATTTCCAATTTGTTTTGATGATTTTGGCTACCTTTTTCTGGAACTCTAACTTTTTGCCTCCTCATTAACCTTTTAGTAATTCTTTGCTTTTTTAATGTCCAGTCCAATCTTTTGACCTGTGATCTATCTTTTCACAACTATACATCTTTTCTTTGAGCTTGACATTAACTTTGACTTTAGGGATTCTATGATTCTAAACCACTCAGTTTAAGGGCAAATAGGGTCAGGCAATAAATGCTGGCCAACCCGTATCATTAGTAAATAAAAGAAATATGCCTATTTACAGGGTTAAATTTTATAACTTTAATATTATAGACAATTATTAAATTAACAATCGAATTATATGCTTTGCATTTGAAGGATTAATGCTTTTATCTTGATGAACAAAGTAAATCATTTGACTTGCGGTGAGCAGTGTCATGAGAGCTATCTTAATAATGATGAAGCAACAGGCTCACTCATCCAATGTTTTATCCCACTGGAAGGGATTTTGAGATGACATTCTGCCATTTTTGTTGCTGTTAATTGTAAGGATTTAACTTATTTGACTTAGCGCACTTTGCCAATAGAACACAATTGCCAATGACAATGCTATGTGTATTAGTATCTAAATCATAGTCAACTAGATGACATTTATATGTAAAAGTGGACAATGATATTAAATAGACTTATTAAGTTGCAGGTCTGAGCTGATAATAACATAAGTACAGTATCGATGAAACAGAGGGCCAGTTGTTTATCTTAACTCATCTGTGGGTTAAACCTAAATACTTGTTATTCAGCTTCTAAATTTCTTCTTCATATTTTACACACTTTTGTTTCCCCTGCACAAACTGAAAGTTTCTTTGTTTTTCTGTATCAAGAATTATTTTTGTCATTGTAATTGCAATTTTGATTCCTTCTCCTCATGGCATATTTCACGTTGAAGTTGTGCTATGGAATTATTGAGAGATTATTCTTTTTGTTGGCACTTGCAACTGTATTTGAAATAGTTCAGTTTACATGTAACTCCAATCAAAGAACTGATTAACTCTCTCTATGTGCTATCTATTTAGTATTTCACAGCATGTCTGAGCGCTTCAGGGCCATTTTCTTCCTCCTTAAATGTTTAGGAAAGAATTTGCATGCATTTGATGATTTTGTGGCATCCTAAAGTGCTTTGCAACTAATTCAATCAATGTGCTAATGTAGGAAAATGTATCTGTAAATCTTATAATAGCAATTTTTCTCAAGCAACGACGTGAAGGACCAGCCAAATTATTTTAGTAATGATGCCTGAAATATTAAATATTTGCTTGAACTTTCCTTTTTGAATAGTCCATTGAATCTGTTCTGTCATCCTGAGAAGGCAGACTAGATTCTAGTTTAATGCACTTCAGCAGTCAGACCTTCAGTACAGCACTGGTGTCAAATTAGGATTAAGCTTTCACATCAGTTTAGTTTGTTGAATATCTGTTTCCTGTTGAATGAATTTCCTGATCAGAAGACCAAGGAATCTTATATTCACCTGGCAAAAGACATAATGCAATGATATTGTTGGTGTGAATACTGTAGATTGTGGTGTGTAAGTCAAGTCAATGTACCATGACTATATTTTCAGCCTCAAATGATGATTCTGCATTTGCGATATGAGGTGACTCATCATTTTAACCATGGCATACTATATTTACATTATTGTCACCTT